TTACATTAAATGAGCTATACGTGCTTTTAGCTTCCGCGGACGATGGTATGTCTCAACTACTCTGGCCATCTATCATTGTCGGAATTGTGGCTATACTTGTTGTCGTCATGATCGTCCTCGTAATGAAACAAAAGTGGTGGATGAGGGCCAACAGCCAACGTAATTGGGAGGTATGTGAAAGAAACGATCATTCATTCCTATCTGAGCTTTTAACAGCAATTACGTATAAATGACCGAGACTGGATGCTTCTTGTGTCACTGACGCAGGACTCTATGATACGGTCACAAAGAGTCCTCATAGAAAATATATTTTCATCAAAAAACGGCCTTAAACGCTGTCAAAAGTATGAAACTAATAGTCTAAGAATAATAATACAATTTATTATACATTGTAGTCACCAGCCTACAGTTAATTCTGGGAAACAGCGCAACCTGGGAGATTTTTCACTGGAATCGAAGTTGAACCTACTGGATTAGTGAATAGTCTTTGGAATCCAGAATACGAGGGTGCCAATGGGGTTAGCAATTAACTGATATTCGGCAAAAAACAGATATGCTGTACTTAACTGATAATTGGCCAAAAACTAGATATTAAATTAATAGTTAAAGGAACAGTATCCCGTTACTGCGCATGCACCAAACTTTGATTTTTGGACGGGATGTCGCGAAATCAAAAGATGCGAGGAGAGTAAGATAATCTTGAAAAATCCGTTTGCATCGCGCTTGGTCGGGTTCAATACGACACTAAAACTTCTCAGGATTATAGATCAATGATATATTGTTCCTGTTAAGTTTCGATTTGGGCAAAATCTGGATTTTTTGGCCTTACTTTCATTGCCGTTTGCCGGAGGACCAAAAGATTGGAAGCACTTTGATGCCGATAAGGCTTATTTCTTCTGCTAGCTTCCATACAAGCTCAGATTGAAACAGCAACAATAAAGACTGTAAGAAAGAAACCGTTGAGACATTGATGTGACTGAGGAGATCTTGTTTGAAAATGTTTTGCAACGACGCGTTAGTAAACTTTTAAATGAATTTACGGCCGACAAAATCGACCAAACAGGCACTACACGTTTTGAAAATTCGAATCCCATCGTTGATGACTAACCTTTGGATGATTCATAGCGGAGATTGCATTTTTATTTATGGAAACGTTTGAATCGCGGGAATCTTTCAGATATTACTGGACTTGGAGCGATTGACCACTGACACGAGTTTCAAATTAGAAAATATGTTTTTAAAGCGAAGCGGAACGAGATTTTCGGGTCGCGAGGCGGCCCAATGGGGTTAGCGATAAAATCGCGATGATATTCGGCCAAATTTTTTATATAAGATACGTCTTCGAAAGTCTAAAATAACTTGAGAATATAAACAACAAATCTCTGTCGGCGGTGCGCTCCGGAAGGAAAAACTAGATAGTTTATTGTTTTGAAGAAAAAACAGATAAGTTAACTGTCCCTTTAACTGTTAAATGAAAAGTTAACAGTTATAAGTGATATTCGCTGAATACGATCCTTCATATGTTAATAAAACCAACAAAGTTTTCAAACACAAATGCTATTTTCTGACTTTTTTCTGTCCCGCTGATGACCCGGTGGAACATTAACTGATATTTAACTATTTATAATATGCAAGAGCAGGGGCGGATCTAGGGGGAGGGTGCAGGGGGTGCGCAACCCCCCCCCCCCCCGGAGATGACCTGCGGTTTTCTAATACAACTGGTATTCTGCAAAAAAAAAAACTATGTGGTTTATTGGTGTTGAAGTAGCGCAAGAGACGAGTGCACCCCCTCCTAAAAAATATCCTGGATCCGCCCCTGAAGAGGCACCATGGTAGAAACCCGGCAAAAAAAATTAATTGAACGTCACTTTCAGTCATAGAGCTGTTTGCAGACAGCTCAAAGCTCAATGAATTCGTCTTCTAATATAAATACGATTTCTGTATTCGGAAAAAGGAAATACTGTTTTCACGGACTGAAAAGATCGTCAAGTTAAACATAACTACCCAGAGAAAAAAGCTGTGACTCTTAGCATTGGATCTGGCCAAAAATAAATTCATTTCTTATGGTTCAGTGATATAAATCAGCATCTTTCTTTCAAACACATGGAATTTAAATTGTACTTACGAGAAATAGTTTTTGTAACTGATGTTGCAGTTCTAACTATTGAGACTATTAAGCTCGTGTTAACCCGTGGATATCTTTTGACGCTTTGGAAATACCAGAAAAAAGTACGCCGTCTTCGGAAAAGGACGTAACGTTGAGGTAGGCGAAAGATGATCTCGACAAAGTCTGTAGCGAGGTACAAAAAAACATCTGACCACGCAGGTGGAAAACTTACACGCAGTTTCTTACCTCAACACAAAAACATTTAGCGCTTTGAACTACCATCAAGACTTTGGAACCATAGTGAAGGAACTAGGAATTCGAAGTGGGCTAGACACAGGAAAAGTCGAATTGTCCCGTGTCTAAAACCTCATCTCTTTGTCAGCACTATCAGACCTCTCAACCATGTCTCTCCCATCGGTTCAAACAGTGACAAAAGAAGCTGAAGTTGGGATGAAGGACTGTATAGGTGACTTTCGACCTGTTTGTAAGAAAGTGAAAGTTACTAGCTAACCAAAATTAGTAGTTAACTGAGAATTGGCCAAAAATGGTAAGGTAGTTAAAAGATATTTGGCCGAAAAATTAGTTTAAACGTTAACTGAGAGTTGGGTATGCCCATTAGCAACCTCGGACACTGCTCAAGCAATCCGGATTCTACTATAGATTGTAATCCGGAAACCACATTTAACTGACAAGGAATCGAGAATCCAGTACCTGGAATTCAGGATCCAGGGCGTGGAATGCTCTCCTGGCATGGGCCGACTGTAAAATAGTTTATAAATTGGACTGATTATGAATCGAGTTAAACTTCTCTTTGCATGAAGGATGTCTTCATTTGATTTGAGCTAATCAGAAATGGAAAAATATGTTAAATGGATAACAGTACAGTAAAATGTATTTACTAGATTGTTCTTAGCTAAGTAGTTTTTTTTTTCTTATATAAGTTGCCGAGAGAGAAAAAAAATCACCTAACATGCAGGGCAATTTGGGCAAAGCCTCTTTCCATGTTGACCTCTAATATTTAGATTGACCCATTGAGACTAAAAGCAAAGCGTCAATTTATAGATGTATATACTTTTAATACTGGAAACCGAAAAATTACAACAAATAAGCTTCAACCTATGTAAATCCAGAAATTTATACTTGACTGATTTTAAAACAAAAAGAGAAAATTATTAATCATATTCGATCACAGTAATAGTCTTGGAAAAGAATTCTTACCCATACGTGTGCATCACTGACCTCCGTTCCCCTCTCTTCTAGCTACACCCCTTTGCGAAGCTATTTTAACAACAGAATGTCAGATTCTAACCCTAGCTCATCATTTCAATTAAATTTAGCTGGTCAAGACGCAGCAAGAATTTATCGAGTTGCAAAAAAGAAATGGCGAAGAATTAATTAACCAGCTGCGAAACAGTCATTCCACTAGCACTATCACCGCAGATTCCACTCAGGAGGGCACGCTGTCTACCATGGACGGTCAAGAGGAAGCCATCGACAACGAATTATACTTACAAGGCATGGACACAGAAAATCGAGACTGGGAAGTCCCTCGAAATAGGCTAGTTATAACGGAAGAAAAGCTTGGCGGAGGGGAGTTTGGTATTGTAACCAAAGGAGTGTATTCACGAACTGACGGAAATAGGCTTCCCGTGGCTGTTAAAACACTTAAAGGTTTGTTTTGTTAGTTTTTACAATTTTTTTGTTTGCTGTTTTGTTTACCATTAATAAGTTAAGGCATATGTTTTAGGTATGTGCAGCCTGTGTAGTGTTCTTTGTCCTGAGCTTATAACTGGAACTTTAAGATCATGTTTGATGTTATCTCAAATTACCTTTTTGGTCTGAAAACGGGTGCACTTACTGGTTATTTAACCTGCATTCGATACAGAAACCGTTCACAACCTCGCTTTGACAAAAAGCTACCCTGCGAGCCTCCCCTTGGTCGAGGGGCAGAAAAGTAGGCTCTACCTGAATCGTTTCAAGCCTTTGAATTCGACTCAGACCGAACCTCTGGAAAAGTTTTTTATCTTATTTTCTCTCGATAAACTGATTTTTCTTTTTTGGCAGAAGTATCCGTTTATGAAAACCAATGGTCGTAACTGAGTTGTGAGTTTTTTGCTCAGCGAACGAAAATGCTATTATTTTAAATAGAACTATTTATTACTCAATTCATGCAGGGTCTTTCTCGAGTACGCAATAAATCGAGCAAGCTGGTATGGCAGGGTATCAAAGCGCTAGGAATCATACTTTAAGTTTTCAATTTTTACGGTGGTAAATTCACTTTAAATCAACTTTAGTTGTCTCTGTTCTAGTATCCCACCCTTTCAGCAACACCTTTTTTTCCTTTTTTTTTTTTTGTTTTTTTATTTCTAAAACACTGCATATGACCTCTTCATGCATTCATCATCAGGGAAATCAGAAGACTGGTGTTGCATTGTTGGGGTCCAAACACACAACCCAGCTAAACTTGAGTTGGCTGTGTTCATATACTCTCAACATATATTGGCTGCGATTCGTTTCATTTTTTCTGCACAATCGGCCCTTTACTGGCTGATCTATACAATATGCTTGCTGTTAGTGGACGAATAAGCCTGGACTATGGTAATGTTATTTAGCTGTACGTTTCTTCCTTTGTTTTAGAAAATGCAGATCAACAAGAACGAATGGCACTCATACGTGAGTTAGCAATCCTCATACACGTTGGCCGCCATCCAAATATAGTGAGCTTGGTTGGAGCTTGTACATTTGAAGGTAACGAAAGTCTAAGCATAGTCGAATCACCATGAGCCACTCGTCTAAAATTATATACTTACGTATCAATTTTATAAAACTTTCTCAGTGCGTTAGCTTGCTCCTTGGAGGAATCCCATTTCCTGATCATGAATCTCACGAATCTCAACAGGGGTGTAGACAGGCATTTCCCTTGGTTGGACACTGTGTTTGTAGCATGTACAGCTACAGGTGACGAAACTCTATTAGGGTATCCTCTTACTTTGCAAAACAAGTGCTTGAACATTTCAAAGATAAAAAAAACTCAATTCACCTTAGAGCACATGATGCTGGCTCGTCAGGTACACCCTTGCTTAGACCTGAAGCGTTTTAGCTGGAACTGCCTTTTAATTTTATTATTATTATCATTTTTTTTTAGTTTTTATTTTTTTCTGTAATATAGGGCATGCGTATGTGGTTAATCCGCATCTTTAAATATGCCGACAGCTCTTACTACAACACAGAACACATGGCCTTCAGACGCATGTTATATTGCTATGAATTACTCAAACACCCATCCATCTATTAAATATATCCTTTCTGAACTGTCTTTTATATCTCGTTATCTACATTATTTACTTTCCATCTTTTGATTTATTAATACATTTCTTTGGCAGAGCCGCTTTGTGTTGTTATTGAGTTGGTTTCTGGTGGAAGCCTTGATAACATACTCCGCAGTAGTCGTGTTCAACCCGAGAGAGATATTCCATCTTACTCAAACATCTGGTCACGGCTGAATGAGAGGGAACTTTTAAAGATTGCGTTAGACGTTTCTAATGGTATGAAGCACTTGGAGAGTAAACAGGTATTCTGAAGATTGTAATCAAAATATTGTTTGGAGTGAGTAGTTATTGGAAGTGCTAGCTGAACGTTCTTACCACGAAATTTGACTGTCAAAAATAGCGTTTACTAGAACTAAAATATTGTGAACCTATTTCCTAAATGAATTATGGTAAATCATTTTTAAACAACTCCATTAAATCAAAACTGCTTTCCACTACTATTTGACACTATTTGACAGTTATTTGACTAAGACCCGAGGGCTATACATACCTTACATGATGGCATAAGTTGCCACGGTCTATGAGGAACGTTTTTCAGAAAAATCAATCTCGTCTGTAATTCTTTATTGTAGGCGTTCCCTGGCCCCAATCGTGAAATCTCAATAAACAATCTGAGAAGGGTCTTAACTGTCAAAACCCGAGCACTAGAACGCCGTAACTAATAACCTGGCTCCAATTTTGAAAAGCTGGATTGTGCTATCCACCGGACATATCACTATCCATTGGATAAGTATTAGGGAAACCAGTTGCACTATAAGCTGGATAGGGGCTTATACAGGTGGATTGTAGTCGTCTACCTTTTGAACAACTGGCCCTTGCACAAGAGGACTTCGGTGATCGATTCAGACGTTCATTTTACAAGAGCTAATTGATATTAAAATATTATTATGTAGGTTCTCATCTGGGAATAGGAAAAGTCAGTGAAAACCAGTACAAGTCGTTTAGATGAACCTGAAATACGGATTTTCTGGGAATAATCAGAGCGTTACAGGGAAGCAAGGGAACCACGCCCTTCATAATCATTTAAATGGCAGAATATTTTCTGTCATAAAAACATGAAACTGTTTTAAAAAAGCGTTTTACCCTACTTTTTCAGTAGATAACCAACAAATACAAATCTTAATTGGATAAGGAAGGTTCTTCTGATATGCACGCTTTTATTGTACCAGCCTACACAAAAGTAGTAGAAAATTAAGGATACAATCAACACCATAAAGCATGTTTCTATTTCCAATTTCATTTCCAAATTAAAACAAGAGTGAAATTATATTTGGAGTCTAAAATAAAAAAAAAATAAGTAAAGGCTTGTTTATAGTGGAAATTGCAACTATAAATATGAAGCAATCGTAGTTTTCAGTGCTTAGTCTTCGATGAACTCGCCGAATGTTTTTAAGGTGGTGGTACACGTGTTCCTCCTTTTTGTTTTTTTATTTTTTTTTTACCTTTTGTCCTTTTTATCTCTTTCCAGCGGTTAATGTTTTATTGATCATCTGAAACAACTTAATTCAATAAATGCAATGCGTTGTTGTTGTTGTTTTTTTCTTTGCAATACAGTGTGTTCATCGTGACCTTGCTTCTAGAAATGTTTTGGTTGGAGGAGGCCTGGTGGCAAAAGTTGCTGATTTCGGAATGTCACGTGACATATCCAGAGATGGACATTACATTAAGACCTTGCAGGTAAAAAGTTCGTTGTAACTGTTGTATCTTTCCGACATTTTACGATCAAACTGTATTTCTTTTTTTTGATTAATGGTATTGCAGATGAACAGTCGTGGCTGTTTCAAAACGTTATGCTGGAGAGCAAGAAACGTTTAGGGGCAAGAGAAACAAAGAGCTTACATCGTTAAAAATGGTTATTTCCATTTGCAATTACAGTCAACTCCCTCTAAGACGGACATCTTTGGGACCGGCAGTAAGTGTCCGTCTTAGAGAGATGTCCGTCTTATAAAGAGTCGAATAAAGGGAGTAAAGAAAGGCAGGTACCAACTCTAGGTGTCCGTTTTAGGGAGGTGTCCGTCTTATAGAGGTGTCCGTTAAGAGAGAGTTGATTGTATATGCAACCTGTCTGTCTGTCCTCCCCCAGTGTGTTTCTTCCTCTTCAGCAAGGCGTTTTACCACATGATGTATCACCTGCAATAGATATAGCAAAGCTGGTACAGTTCGTTCTGACGAGTCTGATTCACAGCTATTCAAACAGTCATAAATAACTGTGTCTTCAAGAAGACGTGGGTACTTTGAGAAATACAGCAAGTTAGGAAATAGAAATCTCTTATTTTAAAGAAGCTATTATCCAGAATACCATTTAATAGTAGTTGTTCTCGTTATACACAAGGGGAGAATTCCGTGGCTTTGGATGTCTATAGAAGCTTTGAAGGGAATCAGTACCATCAAAGGAGATGTGTAAGTGGTACTTCGTCTAGTATCTCAAAATATGTGTGTAACTTGAAAGTTCATATATTTGCCGAGTCATTACTGTGTTTGCATCTCTAACTTCTAATTTTGATAGTTTAAATGATTTATACCACCAACAGATGGTCCTTCGGTGTCGTTCTTTGGGAAATTGTCACACTTGGTAAGTTCCAATAACTACGTAGTATTTCATGAACTTAAAAGGATATAAAATTTCCCCAAACAGAAAAAAAAAGCATTTTTAAATGTTCAGGCCTGATAATGACATGATTCTAATACTACGTGTCTTTCGATCGTCTCAAGAAAGTGTCCAGGCGATAGCTGCGATTATGAAATGCTGGACATGAATACGGACTTTTAGGCAATGGGTAGAACTCCGTCAAACAACCCACTCAACTACCTCAACCGAACGACTAGTAAAATAAAGGTTACATAGGTTTTCATTTCTTCTTTTCATTTTAAAAATCCAGGTAAGCCTGGTTCAACCAGGGTTAAACAGGCTTGCCAGGGCTCGGTTGCATAAAACCTACACTTAAGTGCCCACTTAAGTAGGTCACTTACGAATCCGTTATGGGTACACTTACGGGTGTTGCATGAAACGCACTTAGCACGCTCGTAAGTTACTTTTTTACGTGGTAACTTACGGGCTCACTTAAAGGCACACGTAACTTTGATATAGTACTTTATTAATGACTCACTTCTTTTTTTTTTAAAGCTAACCATCGGTGAGTGTAAAGAAAGTTTTAATTCGTTTCGAACAATTTTAAGGATCTCAAAAAATTGAAATTTGTATGCAATCGTTATTTTTCTTCAATGTCTACTCAAAATGATAATTCTTCTTCTTTTTTCACAACGTCGGCTTTAATGTGTACATCAGAGGTTAACAAAGCGTATTGGAACGAATTACGTGAAGAAAAATTACTTTTTTTCACTTCTCAGTAAAAGATCTCGTTAACTTTAGTAAAAACAGTAACGATAAGAGACCTACATAGGTCCCGTAAATTTACGTGCTATTTTTCCAGTAAAAAAGGTTTTATGCAACACCCGCAATTTCTGTTGCATAACCGACACTTAAGTGAACACTTACGAAATTCGTAAGTGCAACCACTTAAGTGGATTCCCTAAGTGGACCACTTAAGTGATTTAATGCAACTCACTTAAGTTACGAGTGCACGTACGTATATCCCTAGTTGTTACGGGCGTTTTATGCAACCGGGCCCAGGCTTTAAACTAGAATCTTAATGCAAGGAGAAGATTATATTTAGATTGGGTTTTGGCTGCGCCATTACTCTTTCCAATTCGTCAGGGACGATCGAGACAATTCTGACAGCCGCATGCATGGAAACGGATATATCAATAAGATAATAACCCGAAACCTGTGCTTTATAGGAGAGCTGCCTTATAGGGGCGTCACTGGATTGGTGGAGCTTCATGAATTGCTGTTAGAAGGCGCTCGATTGGGGAAACCCGCTCACTGTTCTGAAGAATTGTAAGTTTTATAGTGACACCCATGGTAACATATTCCACAATGAGGTTAAATTTGGGTCCTCAAACCATTCTAGACAATCTGTAGGTTGCAACGTAATCGGCAACCGAGTAACTTGAGATCAAATCATCGGCTTTGTAAGTCAATATCAGAACATAAAGAAGTAATTTGCTGCAATTGTCTCCTATCGTTTCCCGCCTCTTGCGCTGGACGTTTCCGCAATACAGACTGTTCAAGTAATTACGTTTGGAAGTTCAGTATATGTAGGTTTCAAATTGAATTAATTTGGGGTTATTTTGTTGTTTCTCTAGATCAATGAAATTGAAATTTCTAGTTTTGCTGCGAATTCACATTAAACTCAACTGCTACTTGACTGCTTTTTGGTAGATTTTAAAGGGTGTTCATAAAAAAGTGCTGAAGAAAAGGAAAATTAGGTGGACCAATCCGAGCTCCTAAAATGTACTAAGTCGGGAAGGAGGATTTTGAGTAACAAGAGGAGAGCAGAAAGCTCCTGGCTGTACTACTAATGCCACAACTAATAAGGTTTTATCATTATGATATAAATCTACACCGACTTAGAGTTAAAGGTGGGATTGTGTGTGCGTGTGTGAGAGGTGGGGGGGGATCAAATGGTAGAGCTCCAAAAGGAGGAAATATTGAAATTTTCGAATAGAATGCAAGTAGGGTCTTCCAAATTTTATTGCTCAACAATAGTTTCTCATCAGCCCTTCCCCCCCCCTTCCCCCCCCCCCTCCCCCTCCTCAAAAGAGTTTTTGTGACTCAGACGTCATTCTTGCGAAACTGTTTAGCGGCGAGGAGCAATGACAGACGGATCTATTTTAATATCTGTGGGATTACAATGATGATCATCTGTGTCAAACTAAGATACTGTACTGATTCTCGCGATCTTTCTATAGTTATGACGTCATGCTAAAGTGTTGGCAGCATTCCCCCGATAATCGCCCTTCTTTTGAAGAGCTTTCTGTAATTCTTCGTCAAATACTCGAGGAGCAGGAGGTAAGAATTTACGAATAATAACTCGCTGAAAGTAAAGGGTAGATATATGCAGCTGTTAAAAAATTCCGGAAGCTTACAATTACAGTGTAAGATATCAGTTGATCGGATTTCATTTTAAGACCACACAGAAGGTTGCATCAGTTCAAACCCTGTTATGAATTTTAGGGCCTGTTTACATGAAGGTGGGGACCCCAGGTAGGTGAAGTAACAGGTATGTGAGATTACCCCACCTGATGTAAACGTGATCACATTAAAATGAGAGATAATATGGACAGGCAGGTTACCCCACCTAAACAGGTTACCTCACCAACCTGGGGTCCCCCACCTCCATGTAAACAGGCCCTTAGACCTGTAAATGCAAGCAGAATAGTTACTGTGTATATACAGAAAGCGCCGACTATTGTCTATTCCGTTTGTTGAATCAGAAAGTCAATAATCTGACCTAATAAGTTAATTAAGAACTAAAAGCTGAAACAGGGTGGCTAACCTGTTGTAGGGTCGGTGAGTTCAGTAAAGCATAATTGATGAAGTACTTTTTCTTACCTAAAAAATAACGTAATTAATTAACCAAATTTAAAGGGGAGTCTATAAAATTAAAAATCCGGGTACAAGGAAAGGCATGGAACTTGGTTGGCCGCCACTTAACCGGAGGGATGCTGTTAAAATCCTTATATGCACGCCAGCGGGTTCTGACAGTGCATTTCTCACCTACGGTACCCATAGCCTTTGAAGGTTAGAGGTATCTCTTTCAAAGAAAGTTCGAGGTCCCTGCTGTTAAGGAAACCACCGGCCCTATTCCGTCCAAAAAACTCTGGTGAAAAAACGAAACACTGCCGTAAATTTTCTCTATCTCAAATGCTCCTGTCTAATGATTGCCCCCTGTCTAATAGCACTGCACACAGATTCTAAAAATAGTCTTCGTCTGATGAGACCCCCCGCATGGCTCAGACAAACTTTGCTTCTCACTCAAAGGCTTTGTATGTGCGTTTACTGAGTGTTGAGTCAAAACATTGATTTTTTCGCGTATTTTTATCAGGATATGGTAAACAATAAGCGTTGAAGCTGGGAAAAATGTAAGAGGGACTCAAAGATCCCTGAAAAAGTGGTCTGAGTCACTAAATAAATGCGAGAAATCCAGAAAGAAAGCGAAGTACGCTATGTTTTGTGGCAGTGATCACTGATCAGGTAGCGGGCAAACTTGAAAGAGGTAGATACATGGCAGTCTTAAATTTTTTCCATTTTCACGAATTCTTCGATTGAATTCCTCTAAAAACGTGAAACGTTTCTTTAAAAATCTCAAGCGATTTTAAGCATTGCCCTTGGTTAGAAGTAGACTCAGTTGTCGACCTTGGGCATTTTGTGAAATCTGGGATGCTTTCAACGCTTCACCGCCGTGACTCACTGAGTCAGTTATCCAGGATATCCAGAAAAATTATCATCGAAACCTCCCTGAAGCATTGGACGTTTGTTCGCAAATGCCAAGCAATAATATATCCTGTAGTGCACAAATTCTCCGAGCTTGAGCATTTTCGAATCTCGAATCGCGGTAGCCTCCCCCGCAGACATTCTTAGGGGTGGATGACGCACCCCTAAGAATGTCTGCGGGGGAGGCTAGAATCGCGGGCACGGTTTTCAAAATACTATAGCACTGAACAGCCCGCCAGTCTAGACTAGGTCTCTCTGTTTTTCGCGAAAAACTGAACTTATCGAATATCTGGTACGGCTACGACTCTTTCTACTTCGGCACAGAGGTAGAAAATGTCTAAACAATTATCAAATTTTCTTTAAAGAATTCGATGAGAATTCTTAAAACTCGGAGTTGAATATCAGCTAATTCTTTGAAAACATTTACCGGCTGGGTTGCAAACGAGGTATCTACACAGAGCGTTTAAAAGTTCTCTCATTTTCTGCTCTGCATCAATCCTTTGCACTTGAGCTATGTTTTGATTTGTTCTACATTATATTCTCCTGGATCTTCCTCGAATTTCGAAACTGGAACGTTCCTCAAAACGCTAAAAGGGCGAGCAGAGCTGATCGCAAACTGTGCGTTTCCATACAGCGCCCTTGCGACCTCTTGCAGAAAGGGCCAATGTTTCTCTGAGTCTCGGTGGGGGTTACGTTTTGTGACATCATCCGTGCGCAGCGCTATAGACGCCCCCGATAAAAATTGCTCCAAAATACAGTGAAACCCTGTTAATATGGACACCAGCCGGACTGATGCCGTAGTGTCCGTGTCCGTATTAAGCAAACTCGATCTCAGAAACAAAAATGTCAGAGGCACGATTTTTATCGATTTAAAGACACAAAGGAGAAATAGCTGAAAGGAAAAAGCTAAGTCAGTGAAACTTGTAAAATAGAAGGCAGAAATCTTTATTAAACAACCAACGTATAAGGGTCAAAAACCGGATAGCGGAGACTGATCAAATCAATAGCCTGAATTTCATCCGATTACTTCGCGTCGTTATTTCTCCCTCAGTAACGTCTGAATCGACCGGCCGTTTATGCCGTCCAGTGACGTCACTTCTCCTTGACTTCTGCTTTAATTCGTGCAAAAAGTAAAGCACGATTTTCAAGTGGCAAACCGAGAAATATCGTTTGTAAATGTCTGCATGATACAGAACTGCTTTATTTTTTTCGATCATAATTCATGTTTAACGTTCAAACTATCAACTGAATGCAGTACAACTCTGAACCGGTTGCACTAAATTCTATAATCAAACTCGGTCGCAATCACGCAATGAAATAAACACACACGGAACACTTAAACACAATGATTTGCTTTAATTGAAAAGAAGGGGGACAAGAAAGAAAAGCTAACGGAATCATTACACTTGACGGTAAAAATAGCAAGAAGGTCGAATTATAACATTGATCTCAGAAAACTTCGCGTAATTAAAATCACCGGCAGCCGAAACGACAAAGCGGCTCTAAATGAAAAACCTACCGACTCTCCGCAATGATTCTTCATTCCCAGTTCAATTTAGCATTTCAGTTTCGAAGACAAGGGCAATTTCGCTGTTTACTATAAAGATTGCGCTTATCGAAATGTTTGAACTAGACGAAAGGATGCCAGGGATGCGATCCGCTGAATATCAAGCGACAATCCCGCTTAAATTTTTCATAATTATACATAATTATGCGAATGATTAGACAATGAACCAATTAAAATCACTACCCGGTTTTCGGGTAGTGAGTGACGTCACTGGACGGCATTAACGGCCGGTCGATTCAGACGTTGTTGAGAGGAGAAAACGACTCGAAGCAATCGGATGAATTTCAGGCTAATCAAATCAAACACGTCATGTTATTTCGCAACTGTTTTTAGTGGCAAAATCGTATGAATCTTCTTCATTAATTCCGGACGGACCTAGAAAAGAGAGTGTATTAAACATTATCACTTACTCTGGGTGGTTCAAATCGGCGCCAGTGGGCGGAACTATTGTCTACTGCATGCTCAATGGTGCACCGGCTAACGTTTAATTCTGACTGTATGACTTTAAAATTTTCCCTCTTTTTTACATTTTTTATTTAATTTTCTGGCAGAGAACTTACATCAATATTACCTATATCGAGGAACATGGAACAGGGCCAATGGACACAAAACTTTAAACTTCCCTGTCATATATGCTGAAGAACCCATCAGGGGTAGCCTGACAGACAGCGGATCCCGCTATAGGACCCTTACGTCAATATCCATGGTTATTCAAGACATGTTACGGCATAGACCGTCAAATAGTACATTCTGTGCCATATATTTTACTACAATATAAACGTCCACATGTGTAAAATTTTCACATTACTTTAATGTACATACTAATTAAAGAACGACGGCATTTCGACAAATCAAGCACATGCCAGCTTATCCCCCAGTAGGACGCTTACGTCAATATCCATGGTTCTTCAAGACATGTTATGACATAGATCATCCGATCAAAGCGTACATTCTGTGCCACATTTGCAAATTATTTACCTGATTTTAATATACATGCCAGTTTAAGAACGACTGTGCGACAAATGACATTTTGCAAAAACTATTTTGCAAAGATTTTGGTTAGGATCCTGTACGATCTTATAGGATTCTCTAGGATACTGTAGGATCCTGTCGCATTCCATGTGATCTTGTCTATAATACTGTAGGATCATTTCCAGAGTTGATTAGGATTCCATAGGATCTCTCGTGAACTTTCTTAGCATTTTAACTGCTGAAATAAAGACTAGTATATTTCGAAACTGACTTCTTAGGTTTTTCCCGGTATTATCCTTTTAAATATTTTAACTACGGAGGATGCGGTTGAGTCGTTGAAAATCTTCTGTAAGATCCCATAGCATCTTAACTAAAATTAATAACGATTTTATAGGATTTTTTCTAGGATCCTGTGAGATCATCCCGTAGGATCTTGTATGATTCCACAGGATCGTGTCCACAATTGATTAGGATTTCATAGGATCTTTCGTAAACCTTGCCTTTCCATTATAATTGCCCAAATAGGCACTTGCATACTTCGTAACTAATTTCCTTGGTTCCTTAGTATAATATCGTGTTAATTATCTTAAGGATTGCTGTTGAGTCATTCAGAATCTTCTCTAAGATCCCGGGACACGTAAAGATGTCTAGAATACATAAGGATGCCATGCCATTGTATATTTTTAAAAAGAATTCTTAGATTATTGATTTTATTATCCTTTTTTTAAAAAGGACGTAAAATATTAAAATATTTTACAGGATGCTATTCAGTCCTTCCGTATCTTGACAAAGATCCCGTAACATCTTGTTTAGAATTGATGAGGGTTCCATAGCATTTTGTCTAGGATCCTGCACGATCTTGCAGGATTCCATAGGATCTTGTCTATTATCTTGTAGGATCTTCTCCAGAATTGATTAGGATTTGTAAGATCCCATTGGATCTTGTATGATTTTACAGGATCTTGTCCACAATTGATTAGGATTTCATAAGATGTTTCATAAACCTTGTCCTTGCAAATTAAATGCTCAAATAAGCACTTGTATATTTGCCGAGTACTTTCTTAGGTTCTTGATTGTATTATCCTGTTTAATTTTTTACAGAGTGCTGTGGAGTCCTTTAGAATCTTGTCTAAGATTCCATAGCATCTTGTCTTAAACTGATAAGGATTCCATGAAATTTTGTCTAAGATCCTGGAAAACATAGAGATGTCTAGAACACATAAGGATGCCATACTGACTTTTGTCTAGGATCCTGTAAGATCAAGGAGGATTGTCAAGGACCCTGTAGGATCCTGTATGGATTTCATCGGTTTTTGTCCCCAATTGATTAGAATTCAGTTCATAAGGTCTTGCATAAAGCTTGTCTTTGCATTTTACCTGCCCAAATAAGCTCCTGTATACTTTTTAAAAGAATTCATACGTTATTGATTTTATTATCCTGTTTAATATTTTACAGGATGCCATTCAGTCCTTCCATATCTTGACAAAGATCCCGTAGCATCTTGTTTAGAATTGATGAGGATTCCATAGCATTTTGTCTAGGATCCTGCACGATCTTGCAGGATTCCATAGGATCTTGGCTATGAAATTGTAGGATCTTCTCTAGAATTGATTAGGATTTGTAAGATCCCGTAGGATCTTGTATGATTTTACAGGATCTTGTCCACAGTTGATTAAGATTTCATAGGATGTTTCGTAAACCTTGCCATGCGAGTAGAAGCGTTTGTCATCGTCTGGACGCGCTCACCGTGACACTTACTATTGTATTTTGCATAAAAAAAATAACATCGTTGAAAGTGCCGCCAACTTGTGAACTTGGGATGGAGTCATACTACAAGCTTGTGTTGACCATGTTGGCCATAATTATGTTTTGTATCGGAGTGTATACTATGGAAAGCGTGCTTAACGACTGTTTGGCACAATTTTCAAGCAAATATGTGCTCAAAGAAGAGCAGCGCCAGGCTGTTTTGGGTTTACTAGAGCAAGAGGATATTGTGGCGGTTCTTCCCACGGGTTTTGGGAAAAGTTTAATTTAGCAGTTGTTCGTGGCAGGGAAACTCAAACGAACCCTTAAGAGAAAAGAACAGGGGATTATAGTTGCATCACCATTACGAAGTATTATCAATGATGAAGTTGAATTTGCATTACCTTGCCGCGGGACCATTAGGTGATGCGGACATTCTGTTTTTTAGAAACCGAAAGCTATCATCGTCGTGCTCGCAAAGCTGCCTTTAATAAAAGAAAATCCAGCTCGGGTGCTTCTAACGTGATTACTACAAGGCGAAGAAACGCTGCTTGACTGATCATCTGTTTGGGAAACGGTAGATCTCTTAAACCGTCTGCTTAGTTGACGAACACTCTCGAAAAAAAGATTTTCTGTTAGCTTTTCGGGAACTGGGTGATTGCCCAGTACTATTGACGTATACAAAGAATCCACATATCCTGCAATAATCCGATGTGGCGATTTGTTTCGGCGTCAGACCTCTTTTGGCCGGGTCTTTAGGCGTAGAAGCAGTCTAAGGAGGGTCTAAGAAGACATGCTTCAAACAAACACGCGACTCCAAGTGTCACTAGGTATCAACTGCCTGATTTCAGCCTTAATTGGATAATTTAATAGGACAGTACGCGTCATGCCTAAGTAATTGGACAGTACGCGCCATCAAGCGCGCGCTTAAATGGCTTTTTTTTTCACTAATAGCAAAAAAAAGTTATGATTAACTGGTAACAGAACTTCGTGTCGTCCAATTCGGTCTGTAATCATACTCGTGATTAAACAAATCGGACTCCCGCTACGCGGTCGTCCGATTTTGTCAATCACACGTATGATTACAGACCGAATTGGACTCCACTCAGTCCTGTTACCATTACTAATATAAATCCCCAATTCCATTGGTCCAATTTAATTGGTACTGCGAACGCGGAGGTGATAATGATAAGGCGTTGACATGGGGGAGGCACTTAATAAACCTTTTTTTTTTCCCAAAGTTGTCTAAAGACGTTCTTTACTTTTCTTTCTCGCCCTCAGCGCTCGTTCTCGCGCGCTCGCGAGCTCGCCGATCTTTGCTACAGAACGAAAAGAAAAATAAAACAACGACTGTCTACACGCTAACAAGGGGTCACAAGGATTACAAGGTGTTACAAAGGGTTACAGGGTGTTACAAGGGGTCACAGGGGGTTACAGGAGGTTAGAAAGGGTTACAAGGGCTTAGGGGGGTTTATAAGAGGTTGCAGGCGGTAACAAGAGGTTACAGGGGATTACAAGGGATTACAGGGGGTTACAAAGGGTTACGAGGAGTTACAAAACAAAACAACGTCTTTGTACAACTAACAAGGGATTACAAGGGGTTACAAGGTGTTACAAAGAGTTACAGGTGGTTACAACGGGTTACAAAAGGTTACAGGGGATTACAAGGGGTTACCGACGGTTAAAAAGGGTTATAAGTGGTTACAAAGGGTTACAAGGGGTTACAAAAGGTCACTAGGGGTTAAAGGGGGTTACAAGAGCTTACAAAGGTTTACGGGGGGTTACAAGGGGTTACAGACAGTTAGAAAGGGTTACAAGTGGTTACTAAGGGTTACGGGGGGTTACAAAGGGCTACGAAGAGTTACAAAGGGTTACAAGAGGTTACCAGGGGTTACAAAAGGTTACAAGGGGTTAAAAAGGGGTTACAAAGGGTTACAAATGATTACAAAGGGTCACAAAGGGTTACAAAGGGTTACAAGAAGTTACAAGGGGTTACAAAGGGTTACAAATGGTTACAAAGGGTTACAAAGGGTTACAAAGGGTTACTAGGGGTTGCAGGGGATAAAAAGGGTTTCAGGGAAGACAAAGCTTTACAAAGGGTTACAAGCGATTAAAAAGGGTTACTAGGGGTTACAGGGGGTTACAAGAGCTTACAAAGCTTTACAGAGGGTTACAAGGGGTTACAGACCGTTAGAAAGGGTTGCAAGTGGTTACTAGGGGTTACGAGGGGTTACAAACGGTTACAAAGAGTTACAACGGTTTACAAAGGATTACAAAGGGTTACAAAGGCTTACAAGGGGTTAAAAAAGGTTACAAAGAGTTACAAAGGGTTACAACGGCTTACAGACGATTACAAAGGGTTACAACGGGTTACAAAGAGTTACAAAAAGTTACAAGGGCCTACAACGGGTTACAAGTGGTTACAGGGAGTTACAAGGAGTTACAAAGGGTTACAAGGGCTTACAAACGGTTACAAAGGGTTACAAAGGGATACAAAAGGTTAGAAGGGGTTACAAAGGGTTACAAGGGCTTACTAACTGTTACAAAGAGTAACAAGGGGTTACAAACGCTTACAAAGGGTTACAAGGGGTTACAGAGAGTTACAAAGGGTTACAAGGGGTTACAAAGGGTTACAAAAGGTTACTAGGGGTTGCTGGGGTTAAAAAGGGTTTCCGGGAAAGACCAAGCTTTACAAAGGGTTACAAGCGGTTACAAATGGCTACTAGGTGTCAGAGGAAGTTACAAGAGCTTAGAAAGGTTTACAGAGGGTTACAAGGGGTTACAGAGGGTTACAAGGGGTTACAAAGGGTTACAATGGGCTTCAAAGGGTTACAAGGGTTTACAAGGGGTTACAAAGGGTTACAAATGCTTACAAGGAGTTCAAAGGGTGAAAGGGTTACAAAGGGTTACTAGGGGTTACAGGGGGTTACAAGGGGCTACAGACGGTTAGTAAGGGTTACAAGTCGTTACTAGGTGTTACGAGGGGTTACAAACGGTTACAAAGGGTTACAACGGGTTGCAAAGGGTTACAAAGGCTTGCATGGGGTTACAAAGGGTTACAAAGGGGTTACAAAGGGTTACAAGGAGTACAAGAGGTTACAAACGGTTACAAAGGGTTACAAGGAGTTACAAAGGGTTGCAAGAGGTTACAAAGGGTTACAGAGGGTTACAAGGAGTTACAAGGGGTTACAAAGGGTTACAGAGGGTTACAAGGGGTTATAGAGGGTTACAATGGGTTACAAAGACTTACAAGGGCTTACAAACGGTTGAAAAGGGTTGCAAGGGGTTAAAAAGAGTTACAAAGGGTTACAAGGGGTTACAGGGGTTACAAAGGGTAACATATGTTAGCTTTACATAGGGGTTTAGGGAAAAACAAAGCTTTACATAGGGTTACAAGGTGTTCCAAGGGTTACAAAGGGTAACATATGTTACAGGGTATTACGAAGGCTTCAAGAGTTGCACAGAGTTTCAAGGGGTTACAAACGGTTAGAAAGGGTTACGAAGGGTTACAAAGGGTTACAATTGGATACAAGGGGTTACAAGAGGTTTCAAAGGGGTACAAGTGGTTACAAGGGGTTACAAAGGGTTACAAATGGTTACAAATGGTTACATAGAGTTACAAAGGGTTACTAGGGGTTGCAGGGGTTAAAAAGGGTTTCAGGGAAAGACAAAGCTTTACAAAGGGATGCAAGCGGTTACAAAGGGATACAGAGGTTTACAAGGGGTTACACAGGGTTACAAGGGGTTATAAAGGGTTACAATGGGTTACAAAGGGTTACAAGAGGTTACAAGGGGTTACAAAGGGTTACAAATGGTTACAAAGGGTTTCATGGGGTTACAAAGGGTTACTAGATGTTGCAGGGGTTAAAAAGGGTCTCAGGGAAAGACAAAGCTTTACAAAGGGTTACAAGCGGTTACAAAGGGTTACTAGGGGTCACAGGCGA